TTGATTGATTGATTGATTGATTGATAAAGTTGTTAAGATCAAAGTGTATTCATGGGTTGAGCGGAAGCCAAGTCTTAAAAACAATTGAGAATATTTCAGAAGCCTTGAAAATTGATGTCCACAAAGGTTTACCATCCAGTCTGACTGAGCTTAAACTGTTTGTAAAAAATAGAGATTTCAGTCTGCAACTGTTAAAGCTGGTACAGACATACGCTAAATGTAAATGTTTCTTAGAGGCTCTGACTCAGGATTCTGAATACATATGGACGCATGCAAAAGTATTTAACATTCTTTTGGATTCCAAAGAATTTCTGAATTTGAATTACTCCTGAAAAAAAATGAAAACAACTAATGACACTGACAGCGATGCAACATCTGAGAGATGCTGGGTTGTAGGAAAACTTATATGAGTTACATATATAATCATTAGTTCTTTCAATAACTTTGACGGTATTCCCCCATAACACTCTTTTTAATTTAGATACTGCTATCAGAGGGGGTAAACAGAAGCCACCACACTAACTCATAACGTACATCTTTCCTAATAACATCAACAACTTAGATAAAAAGAAAGTTTGTATCAGTTGTTTATTGATCTGAAAAACTAAACATAACAAAAAATAAAGTTTAAAATTAAGAAATACTTTTACATTTCATAAAGATTGAATAGATGTAGAAAATTTAAGTTGTGTGGTGTAGCATCTTTAAACTCGATAAGACGACAGGAAGGAAACGATGTCAATAACTGCACTATTTCAGCTGCGTAGAGGGGATAATGCAAATATCTTATGAACAGCGTTCATCATGCCTTAACCCTAGACATCAAGATCATCATCGGGGTCCTCCTGGTCATAGTCGTCATTGGCATCGGGCTCGTACAGAATCCGCCCAGAACCTGGACCTGGATAGAGCAGAGCCGTTTTCCTGCAACGTTAGAAGAAAGACAATTTTACAACTTACAATATGTGTGTACAGTTTTAAAACGCTTTTAAATGTAAGGACATATGACATCATTGAAGAGATTCTGACTTCTCTTTGCTGAAGACGAAAGGCAGTGTGAGTTTCTGCTTGGCCTCCAACTCTGAATCGGACAGTCGAAGGTTGAAGGTCAAGTTAGCTGTTGGGTCCGCCTGTTGACACACAAGGACGATCAGTTTCAGCACCTGTCATTTCATGAGTCCCAGCTCTGTTCAGGATGCGTTAAACTGCACCTGCTCTTCCTCTGTGCTATTGGTTTTATGTTCAGCATGGCTGGCCTTGCTCAGAATGGTCACTGTGAAATCCTCTGCGATGCAGAATATCTCCTCCTGGGGGGGAGGTCAAATGAAAGCTGTCAGTAACTCATAGCGGAATACTAGCCGAACAAAGTAGCCTACATATAAATGCTTCTTCTTACATCTTGCATAACTTTTCCTGATTTGGAGCGCTTTGTTACTCTTGCCACCGCTTCTTTTCCCTTCACTCCAGGTGCCACGGAGATGAGAGAAGTTGCCAAGTGGCAGACGCTTCCCACGGTGCCCCTCTGATGCATATCTGTGTGGAGCAGGCCAATAACAGCTCTCACAGCTCCCCCTAATGAAAACAGAAAATAATACATCAGTGGAAAAAGTTCTCCATGAACGTAAAGCTTCAAATTGCAGAAACAAGTTGTTTGATTCACCTTTTCTTAGCTGCTGAAGTGTCTGGCAGACAGCAGGCGGAGTCTTATGTCTCAATATCCAAGACAGAGAGTCGATGACGAGCACGGCTGGCTTTGGTTGTGATGTTTGTTTGACCAAGTTTGTGAGGTCCTCCAAACTGAACTGTTGAGCCGTGAAATTTGGGTGACCAGTCCACCCGAGGGGATCCGAATAGGCATTGTGAATATGGAACCTGAAAATAAAAATATATTTTTTGGTTTTATTGGTGCGCTTTGAAAAAGTTTTTATAAACCTTGAAGGTCTGTATAGTTTGTCATTCTGCAACTGCAAAACTTTATGTGCTTTATGTGAAAAACCAACACAACATTTTCCTAATCTATTTGATTTATGTTGGTTTCAATTACCTCTGAGTGTCTGATGGTTTCAATCCATCCTTCAGCTCTTCTTCACTCACATCAAAACACAGGACATGTATAACTTCCTCCCTGGCAACAGAAAGTATATTTAGAAAGAGATTTATAGTTATTTTTCAGTGCAGGGATATACCTTCATCCATTATCTATACTGGCTTGTTCTTGCGTGAGGAACTAATGCCTATCTCCACCTGTCAGTGGGCATAATGACAGCTGGAGGTTTTCTAGGGTACCCCCTGGAAAAAACATAAGAATTTAATTGATTTTCAAAAACAAGATTTTAATGCACAAGTTTGAGGTTATGACGGATTTTCTCCAATTTATCCAAGGTAATATTTCTACAGCCAGGTTCAAATATACATAGACTTAAATAATGTTTGGATGAATGGAACATAGAAATTTGAAAAAAAAAAAAAAAAAAAAAATTATTGCCATCAACAAGCTTTTGGCATAATTATTACTGTTCCTATAAAAACACTAAACTTCATTTACATTTATAAGTTACGTGTTGCTTTTACAAATTCTTAAACCAGTTTTGATGTTACCACCAGCATGCTTGACAGGTGTTGTTAGTTTTGAAAGTCTCACCTTGATTCCCCCACACAAACCTCTTATTCTTATTAAACATATATATTTGTTTTGCTTGACCATAAGTCCTTACACAGGAATCTTTTGCATTTTGTCCAGGTGGACAGCCACAAATTTAAATCAAGTTGATTTAAATCTGTGAAGCCCCCTGATTTTGGATCAGGGGGCTTCTTTCTCAGTCAGTACTTGATTAGTTCTTGCTAATATTAACAGTAATATTTTTGACTTGCAGACACAATAAGACAACGATGTCAAAAAAACTGGACTAAAACTCAATAAAGCAGCCTAACATCAAACATCTGAAATGCTCTCAGCCTCCATCCATTATTTACCAACCAGCTTAAATATTCACTATTTCAGCCAATACATGTTATTGGATATCTAACCAGAAATTACAGAAATTTGCTGATTGTGCGGAATCAGCAAAACAAGTGCGGAATTTATCTGCAAAATGTTAATGGACGATTTACCAAGCACGAGTGTGGATGTTTGTATAATTCTGATCCTGAGAGAATATGAAGAAATCCGTGTTAAATTCAAATTTTTGTTTTTTATTAGCACAGCATTGTACCTGTTTAAGGCAGCAGTGATGAAGCTCTTCAGAAGATCTCGCCCTGAGTAACTACAGGAGTCTGTTGATGATAGATGTTTAGCAATGCATTAGGTCAACTTAAACTGTTAGAGTGTTATATTAAAAACTTTTACCTCGTATTATTAGAAACCCTCCACTCTCAATGCCTTGCAGTAATTCAGACAACATGGTTGACTACAGTGTACAAGTATCTACGGCTAATTAGCATGCTTCTACATTAGCACATGTTTAAGCTACAGAAAATAGAGAAAGACTATTGAATTAATTAAACGGATAAACGGATAGCACCTCTTTATCATACATGTGTACATTTAAATTAGCTAAAAGCTATTATTTCTAGGTTGCTAAGCTGTTTTTGTTTGCTTGGTTAGCATGTTTTGGTTGCCCACGATAATAAAACATCATATCCCATGCTTCCCATGATCATGGGTTCGTGGGTAATGTAGTTTATTGTCACTGTCGAGTGACAGCGTAAGTGCTACACAAAAACTACGTTACCCAGCATTCATAATTGGAATTAGATCGTAGCCGCTTCAGGAGGATTGGTGGTAGATTGGATCAGCTCCGCGGACCGATCCCGCCCGCTGTCATCCTACCAGCCTATCCGCGAACGCTATGTAATTTTAGAAACCAATCAGAGAAGAGGAATCCCTCCCGCTGTGTTCTTCTGGGCGATCTTGTCTAACGTCACCCTCCCCTTTTTGCCTCCTAGAGAAGCTGCTGCCGCGCGGAATAAAGCCCAAAGTCTAGTGGGTTTGTACAACCCGAGAGAAGAATCGACAAACTTCATGCGAGAGCTTCTCACCATGGATTTGTATATAGCATTTGTGCTAATTTGAGGATTATACACTTCCTTCTTCTGTTTAGCGATGGGTTTTGCAAATCCAAGCTCGAAATACGCGGATCTTAAAAGCTCGCCACACTAGGCGACAGAGGAATTACTATTTTTTGACTTTTAAAAAAAGTGGTTTGTTTGTGCTCGGTTAACGGCTGCCGTTGTTACGGATCTTGACCGAGGGGATAACCACAAGTTTGATCCTATTGTGGACAATAATTTTTTTCAAGAAGAGTTTCTCTCCCTAGTCCTTAGTGTCCTTGGCTTCTTTTTCCAGTGCCAAGTTACCCGGGCGATAAGGTGCAACCACGCCGGGGGAAGGCTGCTGCTCTCCGGCTAGCTGAGAGGCGGCTTCTCCTTGAATCGTGGCCTCGTCGGCTAGGCGACAATGCTCGACATAATGTCTGACCACCAAGGTATGTATGATAAAGATCGTTTAGGAATGATTGCTCCAACATTTGCAGTATAACGACGTTTTAACGGTCAACGGCTGTTTTACGGGTTTTAAGCCTCGTAAGTTGTGACTAATGCTACTGCTACGTTTTAGTTGCGTAGGCTGTATTAATAGCTGTACTCGCCTCCTTCTAATCCACTTAATGTTGTTAATGTACCGAAAAAATATAACTGCTGTGAAATATGTATAGTTTTAATGTAGCTACTGTAATTTTACAGTAAAATCGGGTATGTGGGTCTTGCTAGTTGGCTAACGCGCCGAATCATACAGCTAAGGCTAAAAGCTAAATACAAGCTAATCAATAACTCGATCTCTGGGCATATTTAAATGCGTTTTCAAGCAAAGTACTAATTGAAATATATTGCCAGAAAATGTAATTTTAAAATCTGATTCGAAGTTAAAAAACGGCAATGAACCAGACACGCCCGATTAAACGTTGGCAGCACCTCGCTAGCCCCAAGTTAGCACACAAGCTTCTTCTCCTTCCAACTTCCATTTCAAGAGAAGCCAGCGTGAAGTGACCGATGACCAACACAATACACAGCCTGAGTCAAACCGACATGAAAAGTAATGAATGTCTCTGACTAGAGAAGCACAACTGTCTGAGTTTAATACTTTATCTTCAAGCTGTTTGGCCATTTAGCTCTATTTTTTAAACCTTAGTTTAAATGCTAGTAGCAGCTCCACAGAGCAAACCTATTAATAATTGTCTGCTGATTAAATCCACGTACATAAATACAGTTGACATGAACATTTTGATATGAACTACAGTGGTTTAAAACGGCTCGCAGATACTGAATAGCTGACCTCCGTTGCGGTTGTTCGGGGGTGTATATTAGCTAGCGCTGTCGTCTGCTGGATTTCTTCGGTTTTATTTCACAACTATTCCCACCTCTCGACGCTGCTGGGAGTTTAAAGATACTAATCGAAGCAGACTTTTAAATAAGCCCTTCATGCTTGTCGTTAATAATCCCCATTAAGTTATTGGCCCGGGTTAGCCTGCTAATGCTAGTATTAGTCCTGAAGGGGCGTCTTGCAGCGCTCCTTCAGGCAACAATGTAGTGTCATTTTATTTCACACGAGCAGGCTCGGTTGTAATTTAAAGAAACGTTTTATTTGTTTGTCTCCCACAGATTCACTTTTGACGTGTAAAACGGAGCCCTTGGTGAGTCCATTTATTGTTCTAGTCATTCATTTGGAGTTGGCTGTAGGTTGAAGCTTGACGCTGATGAGATTTACTTCCTGTAACAGCAGCCTTACTGTTTTCTGTAGCCCCCAGAAAGAAAAAAGAGGACTGTTGAGGACTTCAACAAGTTCTGCAGCTTTGTTCTGGCTTATGCAGGCTACATCCCCAGTCCAAAAGAGGTGAGCTGTTTTCTTTTTTTCTTTCTTTTTTTTTTTTTTTAATTAAACCATTACTACAAATGTTAACTAGCTACGTTTCATTTGACCAGTTTGCAACACACACGAAACACAAAGATGCACAAAAACTCTTCTCCTGTTGTAGTCCCATAGTATTTGCTTCAGCATTTGTTCCTAGAAGACCGAAAACGATTAATGATTAAGACGTGTCCCTGCTTTGACAAATCTGATTCAAATAAATGAATCAAGTGTGGCAGAGGCCCCGGTAATGACCCATTAATAGCAATCAGGTGGGTTACTGCTGGGAAACATCTTAAGCACTCTGGATTCTGGCCCTCAAGCACTGACAGCTGTTTTAGGAGACGTTAGACGCTGAAGTGAGTAACATGCAAATAAAATGTTTTGTTTGCTGGGACGGACAAACCTGTCAGTGTTTTTGACAGAAAGGTGTTTTTTACATTTGCAGCATCTTAAAAAGCAGCTCTCTTGTTGTTAAGTCGAGGTTCTGTAGTTTGCCAACATGTCCTCAGAAGGGTGGGAGTTTAAATACCAGCTGAGATGTTTTCAGTGCTGAAGTCTGGGTTTGATTCTTTTGGAAATCTAAAATTATGAATTTTTCCTTGTACTCCAAATATACATTTGTGATCAGGAATTTTGCCTCCAGTTTGTTTGAATGGTGCCTGCCTTTTGACTTGTCTTATCAGAACTTTGCTATTTGTTTAACCGATTTCTATTTTTGAGTTCCTGACAGAGGGCCCACAGATTACTGCACATTTGTTTAAAATAAGAGCCGCTTTCCTTTAGTCAGGATAACGTCTTAAACCAGGGGTTTTAAATGGCACTAAGTTGTCTGGACTAGATTCCAGATTAACCACCGAACCTCCCGTTTTACCAAATCTCGTCGTTTTTTAGACCAATCCATGAATGAAAGCGGTGAAAAGCATCTCTTTGTTAAACTGACTCACCCAGAGTCATCTTTTCTCATTGTGTATTTTGAGATTTGTAGAATTTGATATGTTTTTCAGCTTAAATGTCCAGAATGAAGTTAAAGGTCCTGGGAAATAATCTCCACCTTTCACAGTTTGATGAAATATGGGATTTAGAAATGGGGAAAATGTCAACGTTGCAGTGTTTGAACATGAGAATCGCTTGTGATTCGCAAGCAGAAAATTTGAGACCTAGAAAGAAGCATCACTTGTAATGGATGTTTTTTTTTGTCTTTTTTAACCAAAACCTTCAAATGTAGCATTACTGCCCCTTGTTTGTAAGAAAACAGAGACAAATTCTTATTGTTCACATTTGATCTGCAGGAAAGCTCCTGGTCTCCAACTTCATCCAGCTCGGCGCACAGCTCAGGGCTGTCGGCGGACGGGGGCGGCGGGGGCAGCAGCTCCATCGGCAACGCCTGGCCGGACGGGAGCTCCGACATCCACACCATCCACACGTTTGTGCGCAAGGCGCGCGCGAACAAGGGCAAAAACATTCGGCGCATGCACTCTGACAGCACCCTGCTGGACAAGATGCGCCTCAAAGACTCTCTGTACGACAGCCAGGCCAGCGCCAAGGCCGAGCGCAAGAAGGACAAGAAGCTGAAAAAGCTGTCGCTGGGCTCGGCCACGACGGCGCCGGACAGCGGCAGCAGCGAGGGCGAGAAGCGGGCCCGCATCAAGCGCAGCAAGAACTCCTCCAAACAGCCCAAAGCGAAGAAGCTGAAGAGCTCCGCCGCGCAGAGCGAGACGGACTCGGAGACGCGGAACTCGCATGCCGAGGCGCGGGCCTCCAGGGAGGAGCTGGCGTCGCACGGCGGCTCCTCCTCCAGCATCCACGGCCTGGGGAAGCCCGACGAATCCATCAGGGAAGCGGAGATGAGCTCCAGCGAGGGCGAGACATGGATCGCAGACGAAGATATCATGGTGGAGTCAGGTACGACGGCTAACGATCGTTTTAGGAGTCGACACATCTCTGGATTAAATCTGATCAAAATAATGTCACGTTCTGCAGGTTTTTCAGACACTCTTCCTTTTTTTTTATTCAGTGTTGGATGCAAATGAATAATCCAATTAGTTTTTAATTAAGAAAGTAAAGATTTTATTGGCTAAAATGCAATAAGAGCTTTCTGTTAGTAAATCTGAGCTACAACTGTACCAGTTTTGGCAAAAGTCTTAACCGTAAAATGTGCAAATTTTTTGCCCAGTTTCAGCTTAATTACTGCTCTGACGAATGTTTGTCCACCAAACTCCCCTTTTTTTTTTTTTAATGAGTCTGCATACTCCAGTTGACGATGAATCGGTCACCAAACCAGTTGATGTCCGCTAACTACGATCTCTCAATCTGCCACAGGCGACGACTCGTGGGACCTGATCACCTGTTACTGCGGGAAGCCGTTCGCCGGGCGGCCGATGATCGAGTGCAACCAGTGCGGCATATGGGTGCACCTGTCGTGTGCGAAGATCAAAAAGTCCAACGTTCCCGACATCTTTTACTGTCAGAAGTGCAGAGACTTGCGGCGGTCGGGACACAAAAAGGACACCTAAGAAGGACGTTCTCCGCTGTCCTCTCGACAACTCACTTTAACTCCGATGCCTACAGCCAAAACAGCCTAAATTCTCACCCGGGAGGCAACTGGCTCTGCAGTTGCACAAATTATTTTGACAATCAAAAGAAAAAAGGAAAAAAAAAAAACATATCTATTTATCCTTGACGTGTTTTTTTTGTTTGTTTTCTTTTTCCCCCATTTCTTTTTGGCGACTGTGAAGAACTGGTGGCTATTGAGAGAATCGTTTGTTGCTTTATTAATTCCCACACTAATTGGCTTTGTGCATATTTTTGACTTTTTTCTTTTTTTTTTTCTCCCAACTTGTAAATTTGTATCTAAAGGAATACCAATCCAATTTAGACGGATATTTCGCATTGACTTAAAATTGTAACTTATTGTATAGCTCAAAAGGAAATTGTCACTCTGGTTAATTAGCTTAAATTATGTCACGGGTGCTCGACGGGCAGCTTCCCCTCAACCCCCCCCAAAGGTATTCTTAAAGTTGAATTTCGGAGGCGCTTTATTTCTGTCAGCGGCGCTCATTGAACGTCTGCGTATAAAGTTCTCACTCCTCTCACGAAAGAGTTGATTAATTTATTAAAAATTGGCAAACTCATCTCAGTAGGTATGCTGCATATAGATGTTTCTATATTTTAGTTTTTTCTTCCCAGCAGTCGTGTTGAGAGAGAGAGGGATAAGGGAAAAAAAAAGTAAAAGCCCAGATATGTTTCCACTGCATTCACTGAGAGGTGGTTGAATGTCTTTGGCTCGTTAATCAGTCATCAGTAGCCAACTTGCTTTTGAATGAGATCCACAGAGGAAAGCTGTTCAACTTGGTTTTTTTTTGGGGTTTTTTTTTTTTTTTTTTTTTAAATCGTCTCATCTTCATAAGAGTTTGGGTTTGTTGTTGTTGTAAAGCACCTGGTTAAGGCTCCTTGTGTTGTCAAGGTTGAGCCTGGGCTCGTTTATGAACGGTTGTAAAATATGTTTTATTTCATATAACTGTTTTATTCCTTGGCTTTTTGTTTCTTTCCGCGTCAAGTGGGAGCAGAGATGTGCCCGCTGCAGGACAAGAGATCGTCTCGCCTAGAGATCAAAGTTGTGTACAAAAGTGTAAGTTTGAGGCTGCATAGGTTGTGGCGTTGTTTATTTTCTACCCATTGTATTTCGTTGTTGGTTGGGAGAGTCTTAGCAAGTCTCCGGGAGTAGTTGCGCTCTCTGTACAACTTCAGTTCTGTGTACATATCCTGTTCTTCGACAACTTGTACATATGTGAAAGTGAAAAGAGAGAATACCCAAGCAAAGTCTATATTTTCTGCAGTCTGATACTGTTTTTCTTTAACTGTAGCTCGAATAATAAAAGAAAAAAAAACAAAACCTTTGGGATCATAAATCGTGTGCTTTCTTTCCGTACCAATAACCACACACACACACTGTAAGACCATTTTTATTTTTAAATGAGTTTAGGCACACAACAGAACGGTCATGCTTGTCCTCTGCCACTAGAGGGAGATGTTTGAAAAGAATCCCACCTTAGTTTGGTCATGAATTAAATGCAAACAGTTGAATAAATACGAAAGATAGCTGCAGGAAAATCCTGGATCATATGGTGGAGAGCTGTTTCAATTTTCCCCATAGACAGATTTCTTTTCCTAAGGGGGAAAAAAAGAAAACAATCGGTACACTTTAAATATATATTTTCTTTTTTTCATGTGGAAGAATCTCTGGAACTTTTAAATAAGGTAAAATTCATCTATCTGCTGTTACTATTATAACAATCTTGGTGTAATTTTTTTTTTTAAACTGCCACACCAATTTACTGTTTATATGTACTGAAATCAAGTGATGTAGTGAATTTCCTAGTGGAACAAATTTAACTCAGAATAAACAAGTAACTACCAAGAAAACTAAAAATGTTTGCAGTACAGGAAATAGTTTGGGGATTTAAAACAGGGTCCAAATATGAAAGTCCTCTTTAAAGAGCTATAACTGTGAGGTCTTCATAAAATATAGAGGTTAAATATATTTTCCCCAACTCCAGTGAAGCTGGGGCTATAATTTGCTTTATTTGAACATTTTCCGTCCCATATTTAAAGAAAAAAAACCCTCAATTTCTCAATATTTCTTATTTATATTTCAACATACTGAAATTTAAATTTTGCAAATTGCAAAAAAATAGGACAGAAAGCTTTAGAAAAATTACATTTTTACTTTGAGTATGTTTATTTAGTCAGGGACAAAAATAAAATAAAATAAAACAATCACTGCCCTAACAAAGTAAGACATCTGTAAAATAAATTGAGCTGGAAATATGTTTTAGAAGTTCCTAGGAACTTTTAATTAGTGCTCCATGATTTCCCTGTGGAATAAATATGATGCGACACAGACTTCTCTTTGCCACTGTTCAAAATGGCAAAGACGAGCGAGCATGCCATTCAAGATACGATATATCTGAAAATAATCGCTCGCTTAAGCATGCCGATATCTACAATTGGATCGATAATCTAGAAGTTAGCTGGAAAAGTGACGAGTCTGGATGAGGAGCCACGTTTATGTCGCCTCCACCCATAGATACGACAGTAAGAAACAAGCCGTGGTCTTACGGGGTCACCAAGTCGTCATTAAAAAAAATATTTTAAAGCTTTTGTATGCATCAATACGACTCTGTATAAAGACATGATTTCTTACCTTTCGGTTTCGAGAGCTGGGTATCTGAAAGCGGCTAATGGCGTCCAGAGGAGCGATTTTCCTCCTGAAAGTCCCCAAAAAGATTAAATTCAGCTCAGCTAAACATTATTCAGCCTGTAGTTTATTTTCCTTTATCGAGTTGTAAACTTCAACTTAATCCTGTCAGTCTACAAAAGCAATACTTTTCAGGATGTCATTTAACCTCTATGCTTTTTATTTGTTGTCGTGTGCATATCTGAAGTTGATTTTCTTTCTTATTTTTAACATGCACAGAATAAACTCAAATTCTGATCTCCATCTCCTACATCTTTACAGCTGCCTCTGGGTTCCACCCGAACCCAAAGGCGCTTCCTGCGTCCTCACCTCTTGTCGTTGGCTTTGTGGTTCTGGCTCCTGTTCTGGCTCTGCACAGAACCGGTCAGCGTTGGGTCGACGGGGGTCTCTGAGTGATCGTCCGCACCCCTCCGCTCATCCCCTGCGTCGCCCACAGAGAGGTCCCCCGTGTCCACGGCGTCGGACAGGTGATGAAAGACCTCGAGGTCTGGCCAGTCGACCTCCTGAGAGCAGAAACCAAGACGTCACCAAATCCCTGCAGGTGTTTGGGTCTGTACTGTTCGGGTCGTGTGAGGCGGGGAATCTCACCCTTTTGGGTTTTCTCGGTATCACGGCAGCAGATATTTGCTCTAACAGCATGTAGAGAGCAAGCAGTGGCAGCACACATCTGTAGCAGATCATCTGGGAGGAGGAATTCACGCACATCCATCAGTACAGGAATCAATGTAATAAATAGCCATAAATACGAAGGCGCTCACCTTGAATATTCTCTTTAGGTTTCTCCGCTCAAGGATCTGGGCTGCAGCTCTGCGGGGTCTGTGCTGCTGACCAGTGTGGAGGCTATTTGTAGGCATGGACCCAGGGTGGGTTTATATTATGGGACTATAATGGGGCTGTTTAGGGTCATTGTTTGTGTGTGTGTGTGTGTGTTCAGACAAACCAATTAAATCTGCCGCCTTACTGGCCGGTATTTTCAGGATTTTTTTTTTTTTTAAGTCTCTACAGTCGGTTTTTGGACGATGACAACATGCCGCCCTCGACACGCATACATACATGCACACTACACACCCTCAGCGCGGACAGATGGCGGCGCGATAAGGCCGCATTGTTGAGGATGTTGTTACTTTCTCCATCATGGGTTCGCCTGGGGGAGCTGCGTTGACCTCAGGCCAGTTTCAGCTGGTTTTATCCTCTAATATAACTCCCCTGCCAAGGCGAAGCTCTCTATCTTCGCTCTAACTCATCCCAAAGATGTTTTTTTTTTTATTACGGTCAGGATGCTTGACCATAAGCTCGACTGGCCACAGCATCACAGGTCCTCCCCCATACATACAGTGGGGATATGTTGCTTCACCGCATGTCCATTCGGTGTTACACCCTCAACCCACCTGGAATGTTTGTTGCTGAAAAGCTCAAACTTACTGTCTGACGGCAGCACATCACGGTATATTTTAGCAGACTCTTCATGAATACGTTGTGGATAACACACAGGAAAAAAGGCTGTGTTTACAGAAAACACAGCCCTTTTTTCTGGAAGGACAGAAAAGTCTAACATTATACCTAAAAATCTGGTGGGTAAATAAGTGCCATCTAACAGCTGCTAATGGTTATGAAAAGTCACAGATTAATAATTAGAGGTTTCTGGAAACTCTGATCATAAATGGGAAAAAAAAAGCTGAATTTCATTGATTTTTATAAATATTGAAATACAAACAACTGTGTCACTGGCAATTATTTTTAATGTAGGATATTTTTTTTTAGCGTACTTAAATTAAAGGCTGCCAAAAACAAAGGCCTCTTCCCTCTATTGATTTTTTAAAAATAATTGGTTTTACCTGTTTTTAAACCAGTGCTTCTAGCCAGTTTCTGCATTAATAACAGAACAGCTGCAAGATTTCTACATCTCTGCAGTTCCCTTTTTTAGACATTATATTTATTACTGGAATGTTCATATTATGACAGAAGTCAGCATAATCGGCAGGTGGAAAGTGGTTGAAAGTGATGGTGAGTGAATCTGGGCAGCAGATGTGCAAGTTTGTGCTCAAGATTTTTACAGAAAATTAATCTGATTAAAGAAGACAAGCATGAATGCGTGTTATAGTTGGTAAACCTGTGTCGCTACTCACTGAGTTTTCGTTTTATTTGGTTTTATTGTCTGCACTAATTCCGCATTAGAAGAAGTCAAACAAAAACTCTGCGAGATCGAAGATAGCACCAGGATGTCAGTGTGTGTGGTAATCTGGTGGACTCTGCAGATCACCACCCAACGCAGACCACACACACACACACACACACACACACACACACACACACACCCCTCCTTCTCCTACTCGGTTGTCGCCGGCCTGCTGCCCGTGTCTCCAGAAAACCAAACAGAGGGGAGACAGAGCAGCCAGCCTGGATGGAGAGATTGGCGGAGGACGGGGGCAGGCCGGGGGTCGGCTCGCCGGGTACGCTCGCCGAGACACGTTTTCACTTTTCCTCTTTTCCCACCCTGTCCTAATTGTTGCTATTTCAGGATACCAAGACCCTCCAAAGATAGAGCAAGCGCTGATGGATGAGGGGAGAATAAATAAACCGTGACAGCATGTCGGCATGGGGCAGAGGCCAGATCGGCTGCGCTGATTACCTCCGCTATCAGCGACAGGCCTCATTAGGAGCCTGAGGTTGGGTGTGGGACATGCGTTTTGTTTTATTACAACACAGAGACGCAGAGAGATGCAACATGAAGATGCTGGTTCAGAGATCGCCCTGAGGTTTGGGTTTCAGCTCAGAGGCCAGAGAAACATTCGTTTCATGTATTTGATTCAGTTTTGATCATTCGATCCGGTATAACAGTAAAAATAAAGTTTCGAGACCTGAATTAGCTGAAATAATGGCATAGGAGTAGTTATTCATTTATCTCCGTGTTCTCCAGGGTTTAAAATAAATTATATTGAGTATCTTCATATTACTGCATGAATACGAATCCATCACACCAGTCTCTATCCACATGCTCATGGATTTCTTTTTTGTTTTAATGAGCCACGCATGTGTTTGTGTTTGTGTCCTCGTTACTCCGCCCCGGTCCAGCTCCCTATAAGAACCACACACTGCTAATTATAGCTGCAAACATAGACTCCTCTCTGCAGATGTGAGCGTTCACCGAACGGATCGACACGAGGCTGAGCATCGCCGTGGAAACGTCTCGCCAGCAATTGTTGGCAGAAACACTGACAGGGAGTCCAAGAAATTAAACGAGATCCCCTGTTAAAACTGATGATTTTGTATATTAAGAAATAGCCAGGATGCTTAAAGCAAGAAACAAACATGCAGCTTGTGATATCTCATAAAAAGGTCCAAATGAAATGCATAAAATTAGCAGATTTGAAACTAACCTTTCAAAAACTTTGCTAAAAAGCCTGATACCAGTTACCACCCTACATGCAGCAGGTCTGATTTGAGTAACGACATCTTTTGTTGGATAATTAGTGAGTTATTGTTTTACATATGACTTTGCATTTGCAGGGCTTGCTGTTATACATTCCAATTAATTTTATATAGAAGATGTACGTTTTTTCAGCCTTCTCTTAGATCTGAAATTATCATAAGACTTCTTAATACAAGCAACATTAAATCCTGGTGGTCGTCTTCTCATTTGAATGCAATACATGAAATATATGTAGGACTCACTGAAGTTGTTGATTGGTCATCGTATGAGTTTGCTGTAGCGCTGCATGTCTGTGCTTGACTTTCTGTTGCAGCTTTTGGTTTTGGCGTTTCACCCCAACATTGTCAGAGAGCCCCATCTGGCCTCCTGCTTGGAAATATTTTGTCGGCACGCCTGGCAACCCCCTCTGTGTTGCAAGCAGCAATGCAATTCGCTATTACCAGCCCTCCTGCTGAAGCTCTCTCCAAATAAATGGTTGCCACGGAGACGAGGTGGCCTGACGATGCTGGTCCTTGTTCTTCAACAGTGAGTTTTAGAGATTGTTTTCCTCCTAATCCGTCATTCTCGCTGAAACAACGTGAACTTGGGTTTTCATCCAGGCTTGTGCGCAACATTTTCAGCTGTTTCAAACTTTTTAAATTATTGTACTAATTGCAATAATTAGTGCAATTAAGGTTATCTTCTGGTCATTTCCTAACACTTACAGCAATGTAAAGGGTGGATATGAATTAAAAATGGTTCAAATTAAATATAAAAACAAAGTTAAATATAAGTTAAAATGCTGCTAAAGTTACATTATTTGTTAGCATATTCACCAGTGTGAGACGAGGCGGAAACAATAAAAGATAACTTAATTTTAAGGCTTTTACATATCTTTTGCAAAGCTGAAAATAAATGGTTCTGTGATATAGTGCTGTTTAACTGGAGTGTCAGTATATTTGCAGTGTTAAATGTGACTTAAAGTTTTTACTTTGGAACTTAAACTGTGTTGACAATAGTTAAGAAGGCTTACTTATTTCTCTAAACTGGTAATACATGTTGTGGGAACTTAGCACTGAAGACAATGCTGCTGAAACTTATTTGTTGTACCTCAAATGTATGAGATACAATTTCAAAAATTATTAAAATACACTCGTTCCTCTTGATCATAACCAAAAGGCCATAGACTATGATGGCCTTTTGGTTGTGATTGGTCCGCCTCCCTCGATTCTTCATGGCATGGGCAGCAATTTTCAATTCTCAAACAATTTCACCTTGCTAGTGTGGTTAGTTTTGGAATCCATGCCATATTACTTGCGAATATAGTTAAATCAGTGAAAGAGAACCAGAAGTTTCACCTACAGTCCAACTTTAAGTAATGGGACAGCCATTAATCCACATGGCGACACGATGGTTCAATCGGATCAGGATCGAAAAGGCCCCATAACAACCACGGAATGTGGAAGATTTGAGTTTCTGCTTTCTGAAGTTTTGGTGACCTCTAGTGGCTGTTATAGCTATGTGACAGACAGATGAGACAGCTGCTCCCTGCAGCTGCATTCAATTTGTGCGAGAAGGCCACCTCCATCTCATAGTTTATTTATTCTGCATCCATATACATGGTATTACGGTAACCACTCTGCTTTCAAAGTAAAACTTTGTTTTCGTTGGGTGGAATAACTTTCCAGTAATTTTAGCAAAAAAATAAATAAATAAAACAAAATCTAACAAACAAATAAATAAATACTTTTTATAAATTCACACTAATACATGAAAGTATTAAAAAAACGAAACAAAGGTTATTTTGGCCAAAACTTGCCATTGATTTTAATAAAAAGTAAAATAAGATATAAATAAACAAACATACAAATAAATAAACAATAACGTCAGATTATGTAAAAACAATATGGGCCAAAATAATTCTTTTGGTTGCCAAAATTACTTTTGGCAAACGACTTCGGCCTTTACTTTAGGAAGGCGAAATTATGCTGTTATTTTGAAAGTACCGTAATGCTTGCTACATGTACGCACTCGGAACTGGGTTTAAGTCGCACCATTTTAATGCCTGTCTGTTTATTCGTCGAGTTGAACTTGACGTGCATAAGTTACGAACAACACATTTCCACCTTTCACCCGTGGGTTGACTGGGTCGTCAAACATAATTTAAACATGATTTTAACTCGAAAGTGACTGGTTCCCGCCCATGTTCATGTTTGTGCCATGACGGGTTGCCTCCCTACAAGGACGCTCAAAGAAACCTCTCTGTGGGGAAGGGGAGGAGAGAAAAAAGAGGAGGAGAGACTAGCAGCAGCAACGACGACAAACAGATTGGGCAAAGGACTGAAAGCACCACTTTGGAACCGACAACCTGCTTTTCTACTCTTTCTTTGGGATTTAAATTCACGCGTAAGTTGCTTTGCATCTTTTTGAAAGTTTTGAAAGTCTATTGGAGGCTTTTATGCGTTTTTAGCTGCTCAGTTTGAACGGGACTGGGAGAAACGGGGCCACAGCAGGACTGTTTGTTCTAGATAAGAAATCATGTTCTTGAATATGTTATGAACAAGTTATAGGTAGATTTCAGTGCATGTTGGAGTTCCCAGGCAGACGTGTCTGGTTAAACACGACACACCCACTTTTACTTTGCAAGATTTTCTGGTCCAGCCTGCAGCGTGGAAAAAAAAATAAAAGGATTATTCCTTTAAACATTGGAGTTTCGTTTCATCATGAGTTGCCTTGCTTCTTGCTTGCTGGATTTAGGTCCAGTTAGCTTGTGGTTGTTAACTTGTTGCTGTACTTTGTACTTTTTTCTGTTTTGTACTCCCCTCCTCGCTTTCCCATGGTTTCAGCTTGGATCCTAACTCCAGTTACCCTTTCTCTCCTTTTTCTTCCTCCCTCAGTTTTCCAAGGAAAGCCTGGGAGGGATTTGGGAAGTGTGACCTCATTTCTTTCTCCATTTCTCCACCAATCACAATGTCTGCTCCAGGTAAGTTATAATAAACATCAAGGTGTGATGACAATTTTCCACTTTTCAGTCATAAAAACTGACACTGACCTCTGGAGCACTTTCTTCATCTTTGGCTTCTCCTATTATCACATCGCTTAGCTATTGTGACATTGTTTGACTTGCCTTTTTAATTTTCCATCACTCTTGCCTAACCCAGATTTTCCATAAAAAATAATGAATCATGAGCCGGTCCACCTCCCTCGATTCTTCATGTGGCCTTTGTTCCTGAAAGATGTCGAAATCTGAAACTTGTTCCTAACATCCTAGCGCAATGACATCTCTGTTGTTGGCCCTGCGGGCTCCGCCCTCGTTGTTTAAAAGGTTTTGGGGGCATTGCGTGTGCCTGCCTGTAGTTCCTTTTGTCTGCTAGTACGGTCCGCCTCACTTTCAAGCAGATGCAAATCTTGTGTTTCCTGGAAAGAGGGCAATGGAATGTGAAAAAGAGGTGGGACGGATTTCTTACTTCCCTTCCTATGCGAGAGCCAAAACAAATTGGAGGCTCATGACCTTCATCTGGCTGGATTAAGCTCGCCATTGGAGCCGAATACCAGGATTACAGAAAACCAGTTTGGCTGGATGTGAGTCACATCAGTGTCTACACAAGCAAATGTCAAATGTCAGAATTGGAGCCGATGGCCCATCTCTGTTCTAGGCAAAGCAGAGGAAATGCAATAATCTTGCTCCATTGGTTGGGACAGTAAATGTCACGGCTAGGAGGAAAGGATGGAGATCGTGAAAATGGTCTTTGGGTCATTTCACAATTAGGCAAATTCATAACCCAATTTTATACCCTTGCGTTTCCATTCTGTTGCTTCCTAACTCTTATTTTATACCTCTAATCAAACCTCTTTTTGTGAAAGGGTTTTATTTTTTGTTATAGTTAAGTATTTTAATTAATTTTGATGTAACACAATTTTTAGAGAAAGTGTTAAATTAGTATTATACCTTTATCTGAACTGTTACTTCACACTAACACTGTGCTTCTTTTGTCATTTCATTTCTCAACACCAGATTAGCACAGCTGATCAAACCATAATGCACGCATGATTACAACATTTCCTTACTGCAGATTATGCTGTAAAAATCATCCACCTATTGTCTACACACCTTTGACTGGTTGGTAGCTGTAAAAAATTATGACTAAATGAAATGATTTATTTTAAGGGAAGGGCTTTCCCAATCTACATGGCGAATAAAATAATTTCCCTTGAAACCCAGTACCTGGTTGTTCCTCCGTTGGCAGGAATAATTGGGATCAAGTCTTTGTGATAATTGGCAACGAGTGTTTTAAAGAACTGTGGGGGGAAAAATGGGCCCTCTTGTTTGTTGCAGATCTTTTTTAAAATTTAGCCACAGTGAAGGGCTTTGGAGTATGAGCAGCTTGTTTAAGACCATGACACAGCAGACAGACTCTTTGAATTTTTAGTTTACCTCATGAAATCGTTAAGTCGAGCCACCTCTGAGTCCTCGGCATACAATCTGCGCTGGAGATCCCCCCCTTATCTTTATTTTCAAAACCGTAATGCTGGATGAACTCCATTTAGTATGCTTGGGTCTTGTTTGCACTTTTAAATCCTGCGGCTGGATAATTGCACAAATCAAGTCAACACTACATCACTTCGTCCTGACTTCCTCGCAACATCAAGGAAGAGGTGCTGCGAGTCCCACAGACGCTGCGAGCCTATCGTTCCTAAGGCCTGTGACTACCTCAGCTGCAGAGTCAGACATGTTACTGAGCTGGGCTGACCTTAACCCTCCTCATCACATTAGTCAATCAAAAAGTTTCCATCACTTTTGAAAGCTTTTAAAGACACCTCAATGCCCCTGAAGGACTTTGTGAAAGGGTCTTGTTTGACGCCATGTAACCTGATACTTGAGCTACTATTCAAATACCAAACAAAAACACTGCTAACCGTCCTTACTGTGTCTTGTAGATTTCTATGTCTGTATTTAAGAAATCTGGAAAATGTTTGGATAATTTAGGACACATTTTAGTGCAAGGTGGGAACTGGGTCGTAAGCCTGATGGTTTCCAGACCCGGTGGCTTCAAGACAGGTCCCAACAACCACCTTTCCACCGCCATGAACGACGATTTCAATGAGAAGTTTGTTGCCGATATGCAGTACTTGGGTTTTCTTAACATAACGTTGTACATTATGGTGAGAGAACAAGATTTACTAGGACGTGTTCAACCTTTTTATCATCGCAATGTTTGGAGATGACCTTTCACCCTTCCTGGAATGACGAGCATCAACGGTTGTTTGTCAAGTATCATCGGTGAGCTCTTCCATCTCTGCCGTTGTGTTGACACACAACTCAGCCAAGTTACCAAAACTGCTTTTAGAGATGTTATTACACTGATGATGCTCATCTTATCAAGTGCATTTGATTAGTGGCACCATGCTGCCCCTTTGCCATTTCAGTCCAAGGGGATCAGCAGTGGCGCAGATAGCTTTCGAAAAGTGTGGAGGATGTGAGTTGACTAGGAAATGACTGGGGAAAACGACAACCCTTTGTGAGTATTTTGCCACTATCACAAAGGGCAATTAGTTAAATAGTTAACAAATTTTCTAAGAAAAATTTACTAATTAAAATGACCCAAGGGTTTGTAAAAAAGTGTAGGTATTGAGGAAGCTGTTTAAAAGGAAACTGCATTTTCTACGACGTGTCTGAGAGCAACGGTGGACTCAGTCTCTAATCCTGGTTCCGTATCTGTGGATTTACCTATTCACTATTTTAATTCAAAGAGCATATCTAAAATATTCAAAAGAAGATGTAGCTTGCTGAGCGGAAACGCCAAGGCGCAATGCTGCTCCTCGGCGCAATGCTGCTCCTCGGCGCAATGCTCGGTCTTGGCAGGTCAAATCTTTGTAAAAGATGAAAATTGCACACGAAGTTGATAATGAGCTTAAAAAGTTAATCAGTAAACACGTTGACTAAGATTTAAAGGTCATTTACTGAGTTGTTCTTTCATTTAATATAACACCTTTAGCTTAGACATTAGAACAAAGTGAATCAGGTGAACAACAAGGTCAGTAAGATTAAGGATCCAAACCAACTTTCACTTTATGAATTATACAATCAGTCCACGCTTCAGAAATGTCGTCTCTCATCATCTGCATTCATTATTTCAGTTTCTTCTGTTTGGAAAAACCTTTAAAGTTCAGTTTTTGCAGAAAAAGCCATACATGTTAAGTCTTTCCCAACACTTAAACAGTACTTTTTTCCTCTCATTGAGAAACATTGCTTTATAATAGCTTTTATGGATCTACAAATTAATCTATGTGTACATGTAGTTTTATTTAAATTGGCTCATTTTACTGTGGACTTTGGTGTTTATCTGTATGATCTCTTCCTGCCAAGTGCTAAAGAGAAATTTCCATCTTACGTAAATTTAATGACCAATAATAATAAAAAAAAAAAAAGTTATCTGACAAAATTTCGTTTTATCGTTTTACTGAGACCATAACGCGTTAAAGAGACAGGAGCGTAAACAGAGCGTTTAGTGGTCAAACTGATGCAGATGTCTGCAGTTCAAATATAAAAATGTGTTTTTAAACCACGTGGCCTTTTCTAACCGGATAGAAATACATTTGTAAATCAGAACAGTGAGTCCAGTGTAACAATGTTTCTCATCGCCATGCTGGGGCCGTCTTGCAAACTCCTGGGTTTTGCTCGTCTCTCACCGGTAAAGTGCAGTCATTTGGCTTGCGGCGAGAAAGGCAGGATCGTTAGACCGACAGTCTTTTTGAACAACATGACACATTCACGCCGCTGCCGACATCAAAGCCAGTTTGGCTCCCATTAGGCTGAAAGCATTAACGGTGAGTCGGTTGTGGTAAAAAAAAACAACAAAAAAAACACAAAAATCTTCAAGCTGGGGGAGTTAATGCACAGATGGAGGTCGTTATGTAGTTGTTGCACTTTTTATAGAGTGATTATGGGCAACTCAGAGGTCAGAGGGTATATTGGCAGCTGGGTGCTAATAACCTCACCTAACCTTAATGTCAGATAACCTCATTAAGGTTCTGGTAGTGTTTGGTTGGTCAGGGCATAGCCTGCAGGTGTCTGTAAACATGATGCAAAGTTGGAAAGGGATCAGTTAGGCTCTTTGAAAAGCAACTGCTGCTACCCATAAGTCTAGAAAGGTTGATATTTGTAGGTTTCTTTCATTTAAAGTGATGTCCATTCTGCTTAAAGTCATTTAAGACATTTACAAATATTCCCAGGAGAAGACGTCTCTTCAGATTCACTCCGTTAGTTCAGTCTGCGACTGTGCAGGCTTTGAAAGCGTCTTCTCTCTAAAATAATATGGCAACATGAAGTTCTTTCACAGAGTTGCATCTGAATGATCAACAGGACTCCTTGAACAATGTAAAGATGTTTGCTCATAGCGCAGAGAGCCTTAGTTGTAGAAAACCAGCTGCTCCTCCTGGTAAAAAATGATGTGGTAAAGATTTGGGCCTGTTTTGCACTTGTGGTTATTGTGGTAAATGTGACATACTCTGTCACAGTTACTGTAACGGAAGGTGGCTATGTTTAACCAGTTGTAGCTTTGTCCAACTGGAGCAGTGTATTTCAAAATGGCTGATACAGAAAGGAAAAAATGTTTCACAGTAATTCAGGTAAATCCCTTAACTGGCATGACGACACCAGTTTCCTCATGGAGCCATCGACGGACATGCAAGCGTTTTGAGGAAGGAGGCAGTTAAGGGGTTAAAATCCAGACCTCAACCTGCTGAAAGGCTGTGATGAGCCGTGCAGAAACGCTGCTAACCTCAGTGAACTGCGGCCGTGTTGGAAAGAGGAGTAGGCCACAATTCCTCCACAAATATGTCAGAACAAATCATGATATACTTTGTTTATCAAACAAAGCTCTTCTGTTCTGGCCTTCTTTGCTTAGTAAATGATGCTGTGGCATCTGTTAATATTTGAGTCACATTTATCCCCCATTATAAACCAGGACATTCATATTTCTCCCATTTAGGCAGAGAGGTACAACTGAAAGTGGGTGTTTTTTTTTTTTTTTTTTACCATGACTCTTCACATGCTTGGTGTTTACTTCCTGTAAAATGTTTCTGTTTGCTCTGCGGCTCAGTGGATAATGGCATCCAGGGAGAAGTAACTCAATCCAGAATAAACAGATGCATAGAGGCACTCGCACACAACCGCGGGCCAGTCACCGTTTGTTGTTCAATAAAGTTTCTCATCGTGACTTTTGGATAAGAAAATGAAGAAGCCCGGACATGGCATGTCATCGGATCACCAGATAAGAAGCCGATAAGCTGCTTTATTCTTCTAATGGTTTGCTTTGTGGTTTTCAAATCTTCTCCTTTTTAAGTTTTACCCTCAGATTGATGTTTGGGTGGCAGAGCATCTCAAAGGCGCTTTTGGTACTTTTGAGATGCTCTGACATCTCAAAATGAGGTCATAGTTCGCCTTCCAGCAGGAGAACGACCCTAAACGTGCAACCAGAGGAAGTTGGAAAGCCCCAGTCACAGTGCAGACCTAGATTCAATTAAAATCTGTGGCAGGGCCTGAACCGTAATGTCTAACAGATGATCTCCATCTTGAGCTCGAGCTTTTTTGTAAAGGGAACTGGACAAGAATAGTCTCTAAAATGGATTGACTCAGGGGGATACATTCTTCTAAGATTTGCTTTTATTTGTTCTTGTTTCAAGTCACAGTTCTGGACTTCTTTTGTCATAGAAAATTCTGGGGAAACGTGCAGAAATAGGCAGCAGATAACTTTATCACTGAGAAAACCAGTGCATACAGTTTTGACCCGGTAAAAGACGTACATGTGTGTTTCACCTTAGGCTATCTAGGCTCTCCGAATCATCCTCCTTACCCACAACCCGGCCAGTCCGCGCCCCCTTACCCTGTTCCGGCTGGGGGATATCCTGGAGACCCCAGTCAGGCTCCCCCACCAGGCTTCAACATGGGCCATCACCAGGACCAGCCTCCTGTCATGTATCAACCGGGCCCTGCTCCAGGTCCAGGACCGGACTATGGCGGCCAGCCAATGGGAATGTCTCCAGCTCCGGCTCCAGTCGGCGTCCCGCCCGGGCTCGAGTACCTAACACAGGTAGGCCTGAAAAGGAGGAAACATCTGATGAACTAAATTCTGTAATATCTGCCATTGTAATCAGACGTGGCGTTCTGGATCGGTCTGGGGTCTCGTCTGTTTAAAAAAAAAAAACACTTCTGCTAATGATTGTTCCTTCCTTTCTGGTGGTGAGCAATAGCTGTGGATTTCTGCCAGTTTGATGAAAAACTCAACATGCCTTATCGCACTTCTTATCCACCCATGTGGCACATGATTCCTGCAACTTTTTAACACTGCTAAAATGTTCTTTTTAATTTATTTGTTTTCCTTCAGTTGAGGTGATGCAGAACTTATTAAAGCCTTATGAATGAACTGACTTCAACTTTCCATCATGTCAAACTGACTTTTTTGAGCTGTATGTCATGTCATATTCTTGTTCTGTCATCAAACACATGCCTGGAGTGTTGCTTTGATTCTGCTAAGCTCATCATACAAGCTATTGCTTCTAAGAGTGATTGTAAATGGCATAATGGTGGAGTACTGTTGTGACGACGTGCTGAAGGGAGAAGGTTGGGAAGAGTATGAGATTCTTAAAGAGACAGAGACCAATTTCAACCCTTCACATTTCTTCTAAGTGGTATTTGATAAATGCAGCTTAAGGTAACATAGTTACTCGAGTGTGTTGTGAAATGAAAATATGTGCCTGAAAAATGCATAACGTCTCCTCTTTAAAACATTCCTGTCCAAGATATAAACTTTATCCTGTTGGCCTTTTGAACTTTGAAACAATGTGCCAAGAAAAACACTAAGTCAGCAGATTTCCTTTGTGTATAGTTTCACAGTTCCCCAAGAAGCTGCGGGCTTGGATGAAATGGTAAAAAATAAATAATCTTACACGTGACTGTCTGCTTGTAAGGACTTAACTTGTTGTTTTTTAAAATTTTGCTCTTTGCTGAAAATACTTTTAAATATACTGATTTGTTTATCTATTTCTTATCTATCATTTACTCTATTTTAGATAGACCAGATCCTGATCCATCAGAAAGTTGAGCTCCTGGAAGGTAAGTTTTATTTATGGAGTTTTTTTCACACTGAAATATGTAGACAGTAAAACCTCTAATTTGAGAGAGTTGAGTGTGGGAGGAGAAACAAATGCTGAGAAATATTTTGTTTTTACGAAAATGTTTCCTTTGGGATCTTAAGGGCTGAGATGTCGACGAGGTGAACCAGTTTTGTTGTGGATTTGAACCTATTTTATTTGGACATTTCAAGTTTTCTATGCTTTTGTTTATGGCATGTTTCCATGAAGGGGAACAAAAAAAGTAGACCCTTTTTTTTTTTTACTTTACTAAACAGCAAACAAAAAAGCTTTAAGTAATATTATGCTTTCTGGACTGAACATAATCAAATTAAAACCAGGACTTTTCTGCATTTTACTGTAACAAAAGATCAATTTTAAGCATCTTTATCTGAAGTGTTTTAACATCTCCGCTCCCCGCTCTCCCCCCCCACAGCTTTCATTGGGTTTGAGACGAACAACCAGTACGAGATCAAAAACAGTCTGGGCCAGAAGATCTACAAGGCCAAGGAGAAGAACGACTGCTGCACCAGGAACTGCTGCGGCTCTCTGCGCAGCTTCGACATGAAGATCAAGGACAACATGGACCGGGAGGTCATCCGCCTCATCCGGCCCTTCCGATGCGTCTCCTGCTGGTGTCCCTGCTGCCTGCAGGAGGTCTGTCCTAAATTCATATCTGTTGGCTGAACACTGTTCAAGACTTTACTAATAAAAGTTATTAATAGCACCCATATCGTAGATATTTTCCCCACCTCGTCCTGAATTGTTCCAGGGGAAAAGTTTATGACACACCCTGATTGCTTATGGATCGATTTAGTGATAGAGAAAAAGGAGTGGCAAGAGTTTTTATCTGCTACAGTAGTGCAGAACTGCCCTTCCTCCGTCTGCTGCTGTTTCAGTTTTTTTTCTCATTTACTAAAGATTCAGCATCAAATTTGGCACAAAAATAGGCTTTACATTCATTCAGAAAGCGCCTGAATAATTCTGCAGAGTCTAGTGGGTGTTTATTGTAGCGTTTTCCTTAAATCTTTGTGTCAACATTAAAATAAGAACAGGACTGGATCACATTGTTAAAGCTGCTAGAGGAGAAACCAGATATTTATCCACTGTATAAAAAGACACCAAACCTTTTTAATTTTGTTAATTTGACAAAAAAAAAGGACTAAACTTCTCCTATTCCAGGTTTGTTTGAAGTGCAAAAGTATTACGTACTGTTTTCTTAAGTCCAGAATGATTAGAGTTTTTTTTTTTTTTCCAAATTCAGCTCTTAACACAATTTCTTTCAAGTTTTTGGTAGAACTGCTTCTTGAACGACATAATTTGGGTCAAACGTTTTGGGTTTCCTTCCAGAAACCTCTCACAGTAGGTTCGCTGTAACTCCGGCCCATTCATCCTGGCAGAACCGCTGTAACTGAGTCGGGTTTGCAGGTTGTGCACCTGTTTGGCTCAAGCCGCATATTTTTCATGCGATTGGGATCACGTTGGCTTTGTGATAAAACGGAACCGACCTTTTGACTAAATGATATGATCAACTTTCCCTTGCTGCTTATTCCTCCGTGTTTTATCTGTTTGAACAGATGAACCTTCAGGCACCATTCACTGCAAATAGGAATGAGGAATAGTTAAAGTACACCCACAGGTCTGTCTTCATTTAACACAGATGTTGTAATCTAGATTCAGAAACTTCTGACTGAAGAAAGGAATCAAAGGAAACTTTTTGTCCTCCCATTATTCAGGTATTTAGCCGATAGAAATAAAGTTGGTACCCCATCTGACTGGAAACGGGAAAGTTTAGTTTGATTCAGTGTCAGAAAGTGAACGATTTTGTCTTTATGTTTCTGGTGTATGTGAATTTCCAGCTTTAATTATCATTTATGCTTTTATGTTTTAGATAAGCTTGTGTTAAAAGTAGTATCTAAATTATATCACTCGTATGATACAGTATCAGGATAATTAAGACTGTCGTATAATACTGGGAGAATCTCATACAAGCACATGTCTAATCCAAAACTTTAATAGATGTCTCTATATTGTTTTTATTAAGTGGGTCTATTTTATTGTCACTAGTTTTATAGTTACAAGTGTAAACTAGTTGATCCATTCAGCACAAGAAGAAGCTAATAAATTTTATAAGTTAAAGATGTAGGAATGGTATCTTAAAGCTTAGAAAGTATCCGCATACTTCAATAAAACTTTCTAAATTAAATGATTAGGAGCATAAAAGAAGCCATCAGCAGTTATAAAGCGATTCGAGAAGAGAAACAATTGGGAATAAACTTGATCAGCAAACATGATGAAGTAATTGCAACAAGAGGAAAGACAAGTAAAGTTTCAGATATGATTTGGAGTCGAGTCTGAAACCTCTGCTCCAGATATGATTTGGGACGGCGGGGTGGAAAGGTGGCGCGGGAAAAGAAATGAGCTACAAAACCTGTTAAATCTGTCCAAACTGCAATTTGTAGAGAAATTGTTTTGGTTCGAGGTCAAGTTGGTGGTTGTTCATAAGACGACCTGCGTCGAACGTCGCGCAACGCCAGAGCAGTTCTTTGAAGAGTCGTGCAGCGTGGCGGCTGCTGCTGTTTGTTGCTTCCAGTGTTTCTCCAGCTGTCTGCCGCCTTTAGTTCATCCAACCTTTTTCAGAGTGTCAATCTACTTATAGCTCTACCAGCAGCACCTGCTTTCTGGTCAGTGTTATTTTGAAATCTGTGGTTTGTAACTTTGTAGCAATTTTAAAAGCTTAGTTTCTGTCTGTGGCACCCAGAAGCCTTACGTTACGTTTAGTCTGAAATGTCCCAAAAGCTGCCAGGTTTTTCTAAATGCAGTGTGTTTCTTATTAAATATCTAAACTTAAAGGTTTAAGCTTCATGTTATCTGGCGAAAGCTTTGCTCTCTGTTGTGCTCTTGCTACTTGATTTATTATGCATTTGCTAAATGGGGAAAAAAAAATGCTGATTTATTTACTGGCCGGTGACCAGTTAAGGTCGGAGTAGCTGAAAATATATCTGGTTCTGGTACCTGATTGATTGTGTGTGACATGTTTACAAGTTGTATAATTGTGGCAGACATAAGATGGGGAGACGAGCTATAAGCAAGTGAACTAATAATATCAAGGTTTCCCCCAGAAAACTTGCTGAACTCGTCGTGTTTTTGAGTTAAAAATGTTTAAAGTTGACAGGAAGTTTTTAAATATCACTTGATAATCATGTGCAATTGAAAGAATGGAAGATTAACACCTGAACACCAACTATAAAGTCTTAAAAAATGCAAACATTCCAAAAAGACTGAAATAAATAAGCAATGCTTATAGCCTGGTGGGGGCACAAGTAAAGCCTGTTGGCCCACCAGGCTTGTAATACACTGGAGGAAACCTTGAATGTAAATTAAAAGCATTAGTGCTGGAATTTATGTCTTGATGATTAAAGCAGAGAAGAATTAATAATTTAAAAATCAGTAAAGGCATCTAGCATTTTTATTGAACTACTCTTCTATTGTCTGTTAAATGTTGACATGAGAAATTAATGATAATTTGAGAAAGCTGATGCAGATGTAGCTACATTGCCTACTTACTCGCATGAAGAGAAAGCAATTTTCTCCTTAAGAAAGATGGAGTGGATATTGAAATGTGTAGAGGAAACATTTACCAAGGTGATACTAGTGCAGGTTTTTGTGATCTAAAATAAGGCAAATATAAATAATTTGAAAGTTTTTTTTTCCTAGTTTTAATGACACGCATGGTCTGTATTATTTAGCTAGAAAACAAATATTTTAGAGGACAAAATTATGAATAAAAAAATAATTGTGCTAACCTTTAAATGAATACTTTCCTGAACTCTGGCATTGATTCTTTGTTGTGGATCCTTACCTAAAGTTTAACTGTCATAGAAGAGGTTTCTTGACTTGTATAATATAGATAAAATCATTGTACAAATGTATCAATTAGGAGAAAAGTACAGAAAAGCACCATGGCGCAGGGGATGATAGCATTTAAGCTAACATTAGCTTATTAGCTCATTTTGACGTACTAAATAGATTAACTTCATGCTTCTTAACACGTTGGCGTAAGCCAGCATAATAAAGGTAACCTCTAAGCGTGGATAAAAGGTGGAGCAATGGTGGCTCTACAAAACCGGGACATTTCTCCAAAACTGATGAAGAGAGCGGCTGGTCAGGGAGGCTGCAATGAGGCTGATGGCAGCAGTGAACGGAGTTCTGGTTTATAGTGGTTGTGTCCTATATTACTGGACTAAAGAGTGGAGTTAAAAGAACAATAAAACCTTGTTGGAATGGTATGTGGCATTTAATGGATAAAATGTTTAACTACAACATCAAGTTCACTCTTTATATCCACTATATGACATGATGTTGATCTTTAAATATGACCTTTGGTCGTATTTGGCTTCTTGTTAGATGATTGTGCGTCTGATCACTTACTGAACTTTTATTTGAGATGCTATAATGAAATCAGTGCAACTCTATTTGCACATCTAGATGTAACCAGAAGTAAATTAGGCCTGTGTCTTTCATCTCGTCTCCTTTCTGCTCAGGCTGTGCCAGTCGAGGGAGGTTTGTTAGGAGTCTGAATGGACCTTTTGTCCATCATAACCGTCTCCTTGTTAATTCCCGATCCTCTGCCATCTTTACCCCGTTTAATCCTGTCGTTGGCTCTCCGTTCTCACTCGCCTGTGCCCAAACCGATGCCCTCACACACAACGGCTCTCTGTGCGCTCCCCACCCAGGAACCATGTGAGATTTATTACCTCTATGTGTCACAATGGCAGCGTCACAGCTTCAATTATCATTCCTGCTGCACTTCGTGAGAAGCCTTCTGACCCCGTGATGTTTTTATATATAGTCTCTGGTGCCAAGGTGAACTCCCTTCTAACTCCGTGGGGCTAATGCAGGGTTTCCCCCAGGGTATTATAAGCCTGGCGGGCCACCAGGCTTTACTTATGCCCCCACCAGGCTAAGCATTACTAATTTATTTAGGTCTTTTTAAAATCTTTGTATTTTTTAAGACTTTTTAGTTGGCATTCGGGTATTAATCTTCCAATCTTTCAATAACATAATTATCAAGTGATATTGTCAATTTTTAACTCAAAAACATGACAGGCTGCTGGATGAATGACTAGCAACCAATCACCAGGCTTAGCAGGTTTTCTAGGGGAAACCTTGTAATGTTTGTGTCCGACCCGCAGATGGAGGTCCAGGCGCCGCCGGGAACCACCGTAGGGTTCGTCAAACAGGACTGGCATCCTTTCCTGCCAAAGTTCTCCATCCAGGGACCAGAGGGACAGACGCTGCTGAAACTGGAGGGGCCCTGCTTCGCCTGCAACTGCTGTGGGGATGTCAACTTTGAGGTGAGCTCCCATCTGTCCTCGGAGGATCAGTTTGAGCTGTGAATGTTCTGTAAGCTCACGTTGAACTCGGTCTGCTCAGACTTTACAGACGAGGGTTTTTGGTTGTGTTTGGATTTGTTCTGTTGGGTGCTGTTTATGTAATGCATGAATTTGTTTTAAAACTTTTAATTTGATTGAAAATTCACAGTAATACACTAAAGATGTAGTATGTATTCACAGTAGTTTCTGCAGATCTTCTGGACAAGTCCAAGATCTCAAAAAATGTCTCTTTAGATTGTAACTAAACTACTTCAGTCAATTGCTGTTGAGTTTGTTTGGTGTCCCGCAGAGTTACTCTCCCGGCCCAATCATTTTCTTCCCCTTGAGGGATTTAAAGTGAAAGATTTCTGTAATTATTATAGCCAGAAGTGAAACACATTTATTTCTTCCTGAACTCAATAAATAGGTTAGATTTTTTTTCATGCTTTTACTTGCCTGGTTGTAAAACATAAATGGTTAAAAAAAATAAATGACCATATTATTAAATATATTTGACATCTGATGTAACTGCAGGAAGGTAGCTTTAAGACAATTTTGTGAGCCTGTATGTCCTGTATTTCGTCATTGCTATGTAGCTGACAAGTAAAGATGGCGGACAGTCCATTGGTCGGATCAGCAAGCAGTGGAGCGGCCTCTTGAAGGAAGTCTTCACAGACACGGACAACTTCGGCATCCAGTTCCCAATGGACCTGGACGTGAAGATGAAGGCCGTCCTCATGGGCGCCTGCTTCCTCATTGTGAGTTCCTGAATCTTAGTGATGGTGTCTGATTTTTATCTCGTGAGATCTTGCTTAACGGGCCGTTTATTTTTCTGTCGTGGCTCATCCGCAGGACTTCATGTTCTTCGAGAAAGTGGGCGAGGCGAACCAACGCAGCTCTGTGTTTTCGTAACCGAGTGCCTGAGTCCACCCCCGTTGTCCAGCGCCTGTCTTGGTTTCTTCAACAGACGTTCCGGCGTTCATTTATAAAGCAAGATCAAATTGGCTCCAGTCCAATTTGATCTTACTTGGAAGGATGTTGATGTTCCCCACACTCCGTAGAGTTTTTACATGTTCATTTAATTTGTGATGAAACTTTAAAAATAGAAAAAACTCCACCTGTCTTCTACTTAGCTCAGCATACTGTTGAATGTGCTTTCTGCTGCCATCTCTCTCTCTTTGTGCTTTTTCTTGTTGAAATTTGTCAATATATATTTTACAATCAGTGATATCGTTGCCATGCTCATGAGGCATTCATATTAGACATAGTGTAAGTGCAATATCCTTTCGGATGCAGAAGGCGTATATTAATCACTTTGTTTTTAAAGTCATGGCAGCATGTCACTGATGCCATAGTCTGCATTTTGTACAAATCACTTCAGCTCTGCATGTTTGGTTCAGTTATGATCCAATATTCATAGAACTAACACTTTTTTTATTTACCTTTTTTATTATGTAGGTTACTTACACAGATACTATCCTGTAAAAACGTGTTGTAGTCCGATGTAGAATGTTATAACCAATCTACCTGCTCACTATTGCATTATTCGTTTAGCTACTTTTTAACCAAAGCAACATGGAGGAAAGCCAAAAAAGACCTCGGTGTCACTTCTTAGTTTTGGCTTTTATGTGAAGCTACTTTTGAAAGTTTGCATCATTTAACTTGATAAGGAAGTTGTCTTGTTGCTAGTCTGATTAAAAACGGGAAAAGAAACCTCGAGTTGTTGCATGCTGAGAGGATTTACCGAAGCTGTCATTTCCCTTGCTTGCTTCACTGTTCTAAGTTGAAACCAACGACACTCTACAGGCTGTGGTGCGAGATAAAACTGCAACGACTGTAAAGTGAGCGATAGCGTGCCCGTTTAGCGTTTGCCATGGAAACGGCGCGAGCAGCTGAACTTTACCCTGCAGGTTTCCCTCAGTTTCCCTGTGATTGCACGGCGTAAAAGTGAATTAAACAGGATGACGACAAATTGTTGTGCGGCACGAATAGGAAGCTAAAGAAGGAAGAAAAAAGCTGTGGTTCGTGACCTCATGGGGTTTTGTCGAAGTTGAAAAAAAAAAAACCCACTCAGAATGAACCTGTGTGAGCTCTCGCCATATGGTGGTTTACATTGTTTATAGAAAAAAAACAACTAGTTGTTTGATGAATGTAAATGATCTGATGATCTGCTCTGCATTCACTACTCCTTCCTGGTGGTTGTGCTCGTGAGGATAACACGGGCGTGACCCCGTGAACTTCTTCCTTTTTTTTTTTTTTTTTTTTTTGCCACTGACGCTTACCGTTAACATTTATTTCCCTTTCCAATGTGCCAGTAGTCTCATCTCCAAAGAAGACAGAGCGTGTACAGTGCAGATATTTGGTTTAATTTGCTTTGCATGATTTTGTAACATACATTTCCTTTCTGCCTTTATTCTGTAATTTTTGCATTTTCTTTTTTACAGATGAAAAACTCATAAATTAAACCAATGCTACTTTAAACCTGCGTTTGTGTCATTGTTGGTCTGGTGTTATTGTGCATGAAGACAGAGGGGTGGAACGAAGACTTTGATCTGTGTGTGTGCGCAACTTCTGCTTTCACATCTGTCTCAAAGGAAACCACAATCGCTTTTTCTTAGGAATATGTCCAAAGTCGGAGGGCATGTTGGTAATGTTTGTCTTTATCTACCGTGAACATGCTGACGGAAACATAAAATACGTGTCCTACTTTAGGGACGACGAAAGAAGAAAGAGGGAAGGAGGAAAAAATGGTGTTGCACTAGTTGTGTTACAGCTCCCCCACCTGGAAGCGTGTGAAAGTGCTGTTTTCTTTTTTTTTTTTTTATCAGTCTTTTACTCAATGTGTTTCCCTCACAACAGTAACAACCCCTACATGGACATGTCCGGACATGTTCCTGTAGAAAAATAAATCATTCTGTGTCCAATTAATGAAAGCCGCAGACAATTTTGGAAATAATTTGGGCAGTTTTTGGGTGGAAAACAAGTAGTTAGAAATCAGCCGTCACTTTTCAGGCCTAATAATGTTTTTGTGCTTTAGAAATAAACAGTCGCTTGGTTAAACAACTGCTTGTTATGGTTGTTTAACCATAACAATGTCTTGTGAGTTGTCAAAATGTCAAGAAATCTTGTCTTGGTATCTTCTCACAGTTTAACAGCCATGGAGGATGAAGTCAAAGTGAACTGATGAAAAGACTTCAAGAAAGCAGCATTGTGTTTTGTGTAGCATCAAATAGTTCAGAAACAGACTCCAGAGGTGTTAAAATAATAAACCGAGGCTGGACATACAGGTAATTTGCGGTGGAGGTGGAGGTCGTGCAGACCCATTAATATCTTGGTGTGTCTTGCTAATTGCCAATAATTTCCCCAGGTTGCCAATTCCTTTGCATAACAGAAATTGACTGTCAATCAGTGTTGCTTCCTAAGTGGACAGTTTGATTTCACAGAAGTTTGATTTAAGTGGAGTTATATTGTGCTGTTTACTTGTTCCCTTTATTTTTTGAGCAGTGTTTATATGTATATATATACACCATATATTGATTAAATGATATTTAAGCACACGACTTATCTTGAAGGTTCTATTTTTGTGGCCCTCCAGAGTGTTTAGGGCCACATAGATGGCAACGGCGGGCTGGATCTGGCCCACGAGCCTCGAGTTTGGCACCTGTGGTCTAGGTGATCCTGAAGGCTGTTTACTTAATGGGGTATGGAGACAATTTTTTTCCCCAGTAAAACATAATTTTCCATGGTGAAAACCTAAACTGAACTGAAATGTGGGGGAAAATTAAATATAGACTCTGCTACCAGACAACAGCTTCTGACCAATTGTTGTTAAAATGCATTTATTATATGATTATTTAAAAAAAACAAAAAAAAAAAGGTTATTTAAGATAGAAATTGTAGAGACTGGTTCATTTTTATCTACATATTTATTCAACAAAAGAATGACTAACATTACATTCACACATAAATTCATTCACATAAAAAAGCAAATGTGCTAAATAATGGCACAATGAGAACAAAAAAAGTAGAAAAAAAAACAGTAGTTGGAGGCTTTTAGTCTCTGGTAAATCCTGTTTGAAAACCTTCATGTTTCTGCTTTGATGGGCTGAGTCCTGCTCCCGTCGTAAAGCAACTGGTTCTGGCAGCGCCTGGTGCCGCAGTGGGGTCTCCTTGAAGCCTGGCGTTGCTGACGAAGTCCGGCTCCGGCCAGTCGGACGTCTGCGAATCTCTTCAGACCCGTCTCTCTGCGCTAACCTGAGGCCGGTCCCTCTCTCCGGTGCCGAGCCTGTCCTCCCGGGTCACCCGCAGAAGGTACCTGCTGGCGAGCTCCAGGTTCCACTGGTGTTTGGTCAGGATCTTCACACAGTTGTCTGCGGAGCAGAGGCTGAGCGAGTAGAGCTGCTCGACCTGAGGAGACAGAAACAAAACTTAAACGTTCAGTTTCACGGTTTCATTTGGATTTCACGAGTGGGGTTCTTGAGCGTCTGCATTAGCATTCAGTGGGCCATTTTGACAGTTGCCCAGGGCGGCATTAGAAGGGCATTAGGGCGTCTTTTGCTCGCTAAGCATGGTTTCATTCTTTTATATTCTGAACAAAAGCAATTTTGGTTTATAAATGCAATGCGACACAGAGGTCCATTTCTTCAAAGTGAGAAAGACGAGAATACGCCATTCAAGTCAGGTTTGCTGATTTTCATGAACCAGAAACGACTACGAGAAAATATCTACACACCTGAGCTTTCCCACATCGAGACAAAGCAGTGAATACAGTTTAAAACAACTAAAACTCAGACGTAAAAGACGTGCATTGTGACGTTTATCCCGTCACAATGCACGTTGACGAGGCAGACAAATATACAGACATTAAACAAAGGTGGGTAGAGCTGCTAAGAAATGCACTCAGGTAAAAGGAGCGCTGGTTCACAGTAGAAATGTAAAGGATGGTGCTGTAAAACGTCCAAAGTTCAGTTTGAAAACGTATCTAACCTCCTAGCAAGAGGCCATAATATACATGTCAACTGGTTGTTTGGGAGTAACTAACTTAACAAACAGAAATGTGATGCTAAATGCTAATGGTTCTTTTAACTGGAATCAGCACAAACAACAACAAGCACCTCATGCCCACTCTTATTTCTGCTGGGGGAGCTGTGATGCAGTCGCATCGAAGGCCAACCTTGTTAAAATAAAAGGTATAATAAACTTTTAAATACCAGGATGTTTTTTTTAATAATAATATATATATGAAAAATCTGGTGGCCTCTGCTAGAAAACCTCTCAACACGGGATTTATTTCCCCCTGACAAAACTTACTCAAATTAAAGGCTGGAATTTTACACATTTTTTTAGTTTGCGATTAGGCTGATAATAATGTACAGAAACAGTGTTTGTTTTATGTTAAGGCCTGTTGTACACGTTTGCCAGCATATTTGTACTCGACTGCACTCTTTGTCAGTTTCTCGTCCCACCTTGAGTTGCTGCTGAGCCCGGATTGGATTCCAGTCGTTACACTGAAGCGCACTTTGCACCTCTTCAGTGGTCACGCCGTGCACCGCCTCCATCACCTGGGCAGAGCCGCAAACAACTTTAACATACAAGCACTGAGGTTTAACTCACAAAAATAACAACAACAAAAAAAACACTGTAACCAATCAGAAAGTTCTCTGCTACCTGTGCGACCAGACTCTCCTTTGTGTTTTGCGTATAAGACAATTTCTCTCTGTCCCTCGATCTCTCCCTTTGGTCGTCATCCAGCTGCGGCGTTGAACGCGCCATCTGGGACATTTTAACCAGGTTGCCCTGCTGAGGAGGGAATTGAACCGGGGGTTGTGTCTGCTGCGGCGGCGGGGACAGGATCATTTGTGAAGGCCAGGGTGAGGGCGCCGGCGCCTGAGCCGGGGGTTTCCTCTGGTTCCTCTGGTTCACGCGCGCCAGGTTGGGCAGCGGTGGCCGAGGAGGCGCAGGGAGGTTGGCCTCACTCAAGCGCCGCGGATCCTTCTGCACCATCACGCTCTGGGCGACCATGGCGGGGGCTATGAGTCGGCCCTGTTGATCCACTCTGAAAGGCCCTGAGGTCTGAGGCTTGGGGCGACTGCCACTTAGCACCGACTCCAGGCTCTGAGACATACCTGAGAGTGCAGAGACATGAATATTTAACAGACAGATTTTAGCTAGATAGTTAACGTAAGTAAAGAATGGCAGATTTTTCACAGAAGACGCATTAAATATGGTAAATAGTCTGAATTTGAAAAGTCGTACAGCACTTTCCACTGGGCTCACATTTACATTTTAAATAAAAATGTAGCTCAGCTGGTATCGCAGAAAAATAACTTGTGAGAATTTCTAGCATAAAGAACAGCAAAAAAGAAGTTACTGAATTAAACCAACAGGGGGCAGAGTGGCTTGATGAATACTGTTCAAGTAGATTGTTCCCTTTAAAACCAGCAGATATGGAAAATATAAGAGTTTTAACATTAAAAAGTGTTTTTACCAAAAACATCATGTTTTAAATAAACCCCTCTTTTTTCAAAAAAAAAAAAAAAGAATAAATTTAAGGTTTAGGGATATTTTATTTTCTATTTTTTCCTATTTGGTGGAACAGTTTTCAGTAAACCACACTTTCAAGATCTAAAAAAATTGTTTCTCTTTCTCTCTAAAGCAGCAGCGATTCCCGGCTCAGTTTATTTGTAGCTCTTACCTGCCATTTTCTGCAGGTTGGTTGCCTCCCGATCCCTGGCAGATCCCATCCTCCAGCTGCTTTTGCTGCAGGCATGAGAACAATAAACACGTTAAACTGATAGTCGACAGCCTCCTCCGTTTTTATTAACCCTCCTGATAGAGAAGTGTAAAAAGCCTCAAAATAAACTCATATTGGCCTGAATTTTCATAGAATCACAGAGGAAAATATAGAAAATCCAACCAGTGAGGGGGAAATAAATAGTATGAAACAGCCAGATTTCTATTAAAAATATCCACAGGAATTTCAAAGAGTTCATGATACTTTTCATGGCAGCACTGTTCCCAGACTCGGACATCTTCAGCAAATTTTTACATAAGTAAAAGTAAAAAGTAGTCATCTAAAAACATTTAATTTGGCCAAAAGGTCAGATAAGTGTTAGCTAACTAACTAATTATATCTGAAGTCCTAAAATTATGTAATCAGACAGAAAAAAAAAATGATGTGAATATTTGGGTATTTTAAAAAACATATAAGAAATTCATAAAAACATACAGAGACGGATGAAACCTTTTCTGAGGAACAAACTTTTCAATTCAGTACCACAAGCAATTAACTTCACAAACACAACAAATAAAGTATTTAAATATTTCAGTCTCTGTAAAGAAAAGTACAGGTTTCACTTTTTGAAATGATTCCCAAAAAAATGCAGATTTCCCCCCCCCCACAATATTCACTTTTTTTTCTCTTTTTTTTATGCAGTACCAGTCAAAATTTCAATGATAAACTTAAAAAGTAACATTTAAATTAGAAAACGCTTCCATATGGTTTCACTGTTTGTGTCATTATGTGGTGAAAATGTGATTTTGTCGTTTCAAATGTACCTTTTTCACGAATGTAAGCCACACAAGTAAAAGTAGAACTGACTTCAAGACCTTTTAAACATAATTTACCCAGGGTGCCAATTCACAAGACGTGTACTGCATGTTGACTGACAACAGGTCAAAGGTCAGTGCATAGCGGAACTCAATAAAAGACAATAAACTCCCTGTCTGATGACACGAGGACATAAAAACATTGAGACGTGCTTCAAAATCAACAATTTCTCAGCATTTTTGCTGGTTTTGGTTGAGAAATTAAGAAGCTGCAAAAAAAAAAAAAAAAAAA